TAGATCTTCATTAAAATGCTAATACAATTCGGTTAGAAAGCCAATTTCTGACTTTTATGGTTTCTTGCTCTTGGGGTGTTGTATGTATTTGTGAGGCTGTTGCTGCTAAAGAGTAACATTTGTAAAAGAACCAATGCAGATCGATTTTCCTTAGCTTTTTCTCCACCTGAAATGCTGAGACAAGCAAAACATGTTTCCATTACTTAACTAAGCAAACAATGGCATATAAATCATAGAGGCAGCTGGACCAAGGTGTCGTTTTCATAAAGAGCCAGATTTCTCACGAAGGACAGTTTAATGGGCTGCTGCCAGTGAAACGTCTGCAGAGCTGGTAATTGCAGGAGGGCACACAAAGTGGTGTTCAAAGGTGTCATGTGGGATCTGAGAAATAACCCCACAGCCAAGACAACTGGAAAAAGGAGACTGAAAAGGTGTGGGCTTTAATAATTTGCTTCTTGAGGCTGATTGTTTTAAATAAAAATCTAAGTTTTTATTTTTAGCTTGTTCATGTTGGCTGTGAGATCAGAGGAGTGTTTTTAGCTGTAATTTTATTTTGATCATGTTTATGCTGTGGCTTTATTTCTCCTTTGATCATGCTTAAACATGTTTCAGAAATGTTTGTTTGATGTATGCTGTTTTCTAAAGCACTCTTCCACGTTGTCTGCTTGTTTTTTAAAAGCAATGAATCATTGCAAAATATTTGCCGTCAAATTATTTCTTAAATCCATTTTCTCAAAACGAGCTTTCTGGACTTTTAGCCAATGAAAGATTGTTTTCAAACAAGAAAGTGTTGAACTGCTGTAACACCATTTTTTAGGGCTGCACAAATTGGAGACATTTTTAGGGTTGCAGAACACTTGATAATTAATACACAGAATTTTGAAGTCATCCCATCTATCCACGATAGCTGCAGTGCACTGACTTGCAACTGTTACTAGTGATTTTGGGTCAAAGTCCCACTTCCCATTCGGTAAAACTTCCTTGAAGTTCACTCCAGCATTTCTTTGGGGGGCTGTGTTGAAGGTATGAAATAGGTCAACCCTGACTGTATAATTTTAAACTTCCCATGGGGACCCCTTGATACTGAACCTGTTTAATTTTGCAGAGTAAGGCAGGGCAGTCTCAATACTTGAACATACACATTCATGGATGACATTCTTTCTCCTGCTGCCTGGGTGAGCAATTAGGAGAGTCAAGAAAAAGTCCCTAATTCCCTCATCTGTGGATATCTCCTTTCCAATGCTCAAAGAAGAGCAATAAAAAAAATGCAGTCCATAGGGAGGGCTGTGTTGCGTGACTGCTGGCCATCTGGCAGATTGATTCATCAGGACCCTAAACAGTCAGTAGTAAGCATGGTCTGCAGCCCTGGAGTTAAATGCAAGTGTGCATCAAGCCTCAGGCAAGTCAAACAGCTCCTCCACTAATGAAACAATAAACAACACACTACAGATCAGTAGTTCACACCACACACTTCTTAGCTTTATAACCTATGAAATCATGAACCACATTTCTTTCCCTCTCTCCACACATGATGTTGCTGATGTATCATGATGTTGCTTTTGTGACCATTACATCCATTCTGAACAGAAATTAATCTATGTGCAACGGAATGTATGCAGCCTGTGCTTCCTTTACTTGTTTCACTGTATAGACATAAATCTGTTAGATGGAAGAGGGAAAAAAACCCAAACACCACCAGGTAGCAAGAGCAAGGGCCTTATTACATCAAGAACCACTCTTTTATTGACTAAAACGTATCGATTTAACTAGATGGAAAAAACAATCCAAAGTATGTGCAGTAAGAAGCATCAGTGTTGTTCAAGGAAAACTATTCCGTGATGTACAGTGGGTGCATTCTAATGTGAAGCTGTGTGACCACTTTATTTTCAGGAATGCAGTTAGGATTATTAATCACTAAGTGAAAATCTGAATTCTCAGATGAGCACAGGTAGGTGTATACAAAGCATACCCACGTGTGCTCAAGCTATGGCATTAATTTTATCTGCCTTCCTCACAGTCCTCTCCTCTGCTACCCATCTGACAGGACCATTTGAAATACATATTTTCAGTTTATTCAACTATTTTTCTATCATTCTTGTATCAGCCCTGCTTTAATACTAAACTGTCTTACTGTTTCTAGGTTCAGTTGCAAAACTATGAGAGGGAAAGAAAAGAATAATAATATGCTAACTGAGGGCAAGTTTATATAGCCTGTGCTACATCAGCAATATTTTTTACTCAAATGGGACTCCCCACAGTATCTTCATAGGCCAACGTAAAGTTAGATTTTTGATGCGTGATATTATAGTGATTTATTTTAGAACTTGTTGTCTTGTGATTTACAAAACGCATTGTGCTAGAAACAAATCATTCAACCATTTGGGAATGTAATTAGGTTTTGGTCGAATGTGATTTTTTGCCATTTTTCTTTAAGACCTTAAGAATGTCAAAACAGCATATTCAGACGAGGTTCACCAGATCCAGTAGCCCAGAACAGTGTCTGCTAATGAGTATCCACTTTCTCTGATGGATCCTTCACAGGCTGCAGTGCAGAAATTTTCAAGCTGTAGCCCTTGTTTCTTGAGATATAAGTCACGTGCAAAGCCCTAGTATATCATATATATAGATATTTACCGTAGTACAATATAGTCTAGATATTATTGATCTTGGGTCTCGTGTCAGTGTAACTTTAAGGCTCTTAAATGCATGCTAGAAAGGAAAGAAGCACATTTAATAGCTTGCATTACTGGGGTTTGAGGTGGAAAGATTAAGCTGCTTACAGATTTTTCAGGTTTTCAGATGTCTAAAAATATTTATTTTAACAGACAATAGGTAGTAGACACAGTTCCACTGAGATCTGTTCTGTGGCCTGTGTTCAACATCTTCATAAATAACCTGAAAAAGAGGTTGAGTAGCAGGACGAGAATTTTTTTTTTTCCACACGATACTAAGTTATCCAGCATACTAAGACAAAGGAAGACTGTGAAGAATTACAAAAGGATATTATGCAACTGGGTAGCTAAGCAATAAATGACAAGTCAAATTATTCGTGATGAATGGTGCAGTGGTAAACCATGAGGAAAACATGCCTAGCTTCACATAGAAAAGAATGGTCTGTGGGCAGAGCATCACCACGTTCTGGGGTTATGGCACATAAAGTTCCATGACAATTTCAGATTGCTGCTTAGGAACTGTCAAATCTATATTAAATATTAGGAATTAATAGGAAAAAACCCCAACAAATTCAACAAACACCATTGCTACAGCCCTTGTGTAAGAGTTCATTTACATCTCGAACATCTGGGGGTATTTCCAATACCAGATTTGAGAGGAACCAAATGAAGATATTAAGATCAATGTTCAAAACACAAAATCAGTACCAAATTTTAGTTCATTACATTGTGTAGGTGAGGAACAAATTCCAGAAGGACACTCTGAATGCTGTAAATTTGTGTGGGTTCAAGAAGAACCTACACAGATAACTGGATGAAAACTTTGTTGAGAGTTACTAAGCATGTAGAAAGCAATGAACTCAGGGAATCAGCTACACTGAAAATAATTGGAAGAAGGTACTTTATTTTTGGATAGTGTTATTTGTACTCACCGTATTCTTTCTTTGTCTTGCATAATTACTTCTGGAAAATGTTGGAGTTTATATATTGATCTAAGTAAACTTTGATGTAAACCAGTATGCTCATCTTTCTGTACTCATATATACACATACACTCATATATATGCACACACAGAGAATATATGTGAATATATACATACACACGCAAAATTATGCAATATGTACTCATATAATAGAAACATCTAAAGTTGTATGTGCATATGTGTAAATATATCAAAATATGTTGCTTAAAAATACTGCCATCCTTAATAAAGCAAGGTGTTCCACAGGGCAGCCAGTGCAAACTGGCAAAACAAAGCAAAGTTCATTATTTCCATGACTGTGTAGCAGTAAACATACACTGAAAAGATGTTAATACATAACACTAAAATAGCTTATAATTTCACATAGGAACAGGACTCTGAGTAGTTAAATATAGTTCACAGTTAATTATCCCAGCAGGATGTAGAGTGGTTATAAAACAGATTGGTAAATCTGTTGGATATGCCTTCTTTTTCCAAATATAATGAAAGATACCAGCTGAAGTATCTCTGTAAAATACAACGATGAGCCAGATTCACCACTGGTATGAATTTACTGATAGGAATTCTATAAAATGCTCTCTCCCCAAACTTGTTTACAACATTTTTTATGTAACCCATCAGTATGTCCGCATTTTATGTATTTTCATTTGTTCCTGTATCTTTTTTACCACCAAATAATGTTGTCAGTCTAATTGTCAAGAAATAAGACGTATTTATAAAAAAAGCCTCAAACTTTACAAAAATGACAAGATAAAGTACTTCAACAATCTGAATACAAATTCAAAAATACATTTCTCTTCTGAGAAGAAGACAAAAATTTGCGGATTAGTGGTATCATGTGGAAGTAGACAATATCAATGAAAATTTATTTTTTAACTTAGCTTTTTGAGAGTAATGAATTAATGCCTTTTTAGATGTAAGATAATTTATCTATTCATTTTTATTGCTAAAATGAGGAATATTACATTTGTCTCAATAATTCTTTCATTTTACTTGCAACATATACAAAAAGGTTAATAATCTAAGTCTAAACATAAAAAGAAACAAGAAAAATATCAGTAATAAATACATGGAATTATGAAGCCATGTTGTAATGGTATACAACCACTTGTAAAGAAATTTCATGAATGTTTAATTGGTCTAATAATAAAATTAACATCTGTTTATTAGATATCTGTAGCAAGTACCTCTCTGTATTAAAGACAAGAGGAATGTAAACATAGAAATATTTGTCATGTGATGCTATAATTGATTCCTGAGAAGCAAAATGACAGTTCATTGATATAAGGAAGACAAGTGATTCAGTTCATGGAGTAGTAACATGGACAACGGCATTGTCTTCTCAGATCCCAGATTTATCAGTGCTCACCTGATACCAGAGAGCGACAATCCAGAAGATGACAAAATCTATTTCTTCTTCCGAGAAAATGCAATTGATGGAGAGCACACTGGAAAAGCCACTCATGCCAGAATAGGGCAGATCTGCAAGGTAGGATGATGAGTCCTTCGTGTGGGAGTGAATGCACTTGCAGCATGCTTTGCAAGCAGTTTTAGAAATTGCATTTTCTAGCCTGTGAACCATGCAGTATTAACATTGGCATTGTACTAAAGCAGGGATCATCCCAAGTGAAATATAGTTAGGAAATAACATATCAAAAGGAATACTATTTGGTTCTTCTTTTGGGGGGGAAACATCACAAACTATGATGTTTTGTTTAAAAAGTCATAGGCATCTTCTGAGGCTTAGAATGTGTCTGCAAAAGAGAGTCTTTTACAGGAAATGTGATACTTCCAGGTGGGCCAAAAACATTTAAAGAATTTGCTTTTTAAATGTTAATAATTTTCCATTCCCACATTAGTGAAAATCTTTAAAACAGTTGTTTAAGGTTAGCTCCAGAAATGGGCAACCATTCCAAAGACCCTTAGCGACTGCAGAATCCACAGTGATAAATGTCCAAATTGTTTTCTGACAGACTTTTAAAAATATTTCTACAAATGAAATTATATTAAAAAATGTTGTAGCTTTGGCAACTATGATAATTTCAGTAAAAATTCATGTTAATCCATAAGCACAATTTCAGTTTAGCTCCTCAAATTCAGAAGTAGCTGCTTTAAAACCAATTACCCCTTAAGTATGAAGTCCTTGGGGCCCTTTATTCCTACATTTTGCAGCTGTACAACTGATCCCACTGTTCTGGCATTTTTATCTACTTTGTTCCATTGCAACTTGCATTTCTACTTTTTGCTACCCAGTTAAGCATAATAAACCCCCTGAGCTTGTCCAGGACAGGGCAGACTGGGAACTCTGAAGCAAAATATTCTGGCTGTTTGTCTTTTTCCAGTGTTATGTATATATATATATATATATATATATATTACAATATATAAAGAGTTTTGGGGTTTTTTGGGGTTTTAAATTATGTGCTACTACGAAATATGTCACTATACAATGTTAAATAAAAGTAATTCATAGTTTGGGTCTTTGCAACATTATAATGCTTTCGTACGTAAAGAGTGAATTCTTCTCTCTTGTTTTCTCTAAATAGCATCTTATTTACTCTGTTTTCTCTGTACTCTGTTGATACTTCAGACAGGGACTGTTGCTATATATTAATGCAAAATACTTTCGTTATTAGAATGACTTTGGTGGACACAGGAGCCTTGTTAACAAATGGACAACTTTCCTCAAAGCACGTCTGATTTGTTCTGTGCCAGGACCCAATGGCATTGACACACACTTTGATGAACTACGTAAGTGGCAGAGATGGCTTTGAATATAGAAATGTTTTCAGGTATTATCTGTATGAATGTAACCTAATTTTCTTTTCTCTCTCTTGATATTGTTACAGAGGATGTGTTCCTAATGAACTCAAAAGACCCTAAAAATCCAATAGTCTATGGGGTGTTTACAACTTCCAGGTATAGAGCGTATCATTTTACTTGCATGGAAACGTGTGTGGCTGCTTGTTTTAAAGAGGTCTCTTTGTTAAAAATGTTTTCAAGAAACACAAAATTTTCTTAACCTTTGAACTGAGAAGTCAGTGGCAGAAAGAAATAATGAATTAGGTCTCTTTCTTATGAGCAATGTATATCATCACTCCAAAGCTGGCAAACACAAAGACAGTCAGTTTCTCAGGCTGTTCTTGCTGTTGAATTGGCTCTTTATAGTGGCGGTCAGCATTTGTAGCCCTTTCCACACAGATTTGGAAAAAGAACACAAGCAAAAATAAACTTGTTTGGGGGCAGTGTAAAATAGAAAATCTGTGGTGTGAGAAATTGACTACTCAAGGATATATTAGTAAAAAATATTGCTGAAATGCGGAAATCTTAACGATCTTTCAAAAGTTCTGTTATTGAATCACATATAACTGTGACATGAATGTTTTTTGTTTCACTGTGCTTTCACCAAGAAAAAAATATACTTGTAGCCTGAGGAAGGTTTGCAGTACTGATTGTACTGCCACATCTATCTGTGAAGGAAACAAGTTTTAGTTTCTAAACAGAAAGAATGTTTCTAGTGATACCAGGAATAGAAGAGGGAGATTTACAAGTCCTTACTGTCTTCTGTAAGAAGTCTCAAGGTAAGAAACAGCACTGAAGTTTGCATGTGTGCTGCCCAAGTGGTGGAAAAGGCTGCTAAAAAAAAATAGAAAAACGTGCAGTGGAGGAAAGGATTGAATAGTTCTCTAGAGACAGCCCTACTGAAGTTTACTCAAGTTTGGGCTTTGGCCTTCTGGGGACAGTATATTTTAAATAGTGGAGTAGCAGCCATCTGCTTAGGAAAATATCTGGGAGATCGTATCAGTTATGCTGAACTTTCACAGGAGGTGAATGAGGATTGCTCTGAGAGCATGTCAGGGTTTTGATAATCAACACATGCAATAAATTAGAAAGCACCAAGCTGCTATTCCCACAGCTCTACCACTTGATTAAACTGACTGATAATTTAAAGAACCTGATTTGATTTCTTCTCCCCTCATTTTTAGTAATATCTTCAAGGGATCAGCAGTGTGTATGTACAGCATGACTGATGTGAGGAGGGTATTTCTTGGTCCCTATGCCCACCGAGATGGCCCAAACTACCAGTGGGTTCCCTACCAAGGGCGAGTGCCATATCCACGGCCAGGAACTGTAAGTACCCTAAAAAACGCAGTAATCAAAGCTGAGAAAACTATGGAAAATATTTTCACAGGCTACATGGTCCTTGAGCTGAGATCCAGGAAAAAAACTGAAACAGATAACAAAATGGAGAGGGTGGCAGAAGGGAAAACTAACAGTTCCTCCAGGTCCAAAATATACTGATTTTCTTGTAGCATATGAAACTGCAATAACAACGTCACTTGGATTTTAATTTTGGCATTCGTATTAACAACTTCAGAAGAAGTTTGAGCAATGGCTGGAGAATTCGACTGAAGTCAAATATTTTAATCAATTATGCTGCATTATCCTTTCCTTGGAATTGTTTTTTTTCCCAAATATTGGCTGAGTCATTCTTAGTGAGAACGAACGGAAAACAGAGCATCTGTCTGGCTGTTAAGAAATTTTCAATCATCATTAAATCTAGAACAGTGAAACAGATATCTCTGCAGTGGATGATACAGCGACTAGAATAGTTTCTATCTTCCATTGGCATTTTTAAAAATGTTTGCTTCTACCTGATTCTCTGTTTTTAGTTTATGAATGACTAAAATTCAGTCTATGTAAGACATCCATATTTACAACGTGAAACTGGTATCATCACATTCTAGAAATATTTAACTGCCTTTGAAATTTCCCGTAGTCTAAGAAGATGGGACATTTATGAAACGAGTTTTAATTGTATGCCTGGGGTCGATCCTTAGCTTGTGTAAATCAGCTTGGCCCATTTATGTTCTGAACTGTCATTGCAGAAGATTAAATATATACATACGCATGTATACATAAAAACATATATGTGTAAATAATATATATGTCCATAATATTCTTTTAAAAGCCTTCTTAAATATAAGGCACAAAAAAAGCAGAAACAACTTCGCTTCTTTAATTCATCATATTTTCTATTTTTATCTCGTATGTTTGAAATTGTCCTTTCAGACCTGACCTTTCAACTGATATATATGCTCAGCCTAATGAAAATTACTTCCTAAGAAAAGAAAACAGTGGCTCCCTGACAGCCCGATTCCACAGCACTCCTCACTCCTTCACTGCAACTGCTAAAGGAATTTCTAATTTTTTCCAGGGTTAAAACACAAGCTCTGCAGCACAGAAGAGATTTCATTTCTCATTTGACGGTGCCTTTTTTTTTCCTAATAACTACAGTTAATTCTGATATGTCAGAAGGCTAGATTTTTTGAAGCTGTATTGCTTTACATCTCTGGGGAAAATGTGAATGAGTAGATATTTTTGTTATTTCTTGTATAGCTATTGTCACTTACTTTTCAGTCTGACAGACTTAGTGTTCATTACCCTGTTTATTTAGATTTTTCTTTGTTTCCAGTATCCATTAACCTTTCTAAACAAAACCAGATAATAGGCATTATTTAGAACACTGGACAAAGAAGAAGGTTACGTATTTCTATCACTGAAATAGATTGAGATAAAGAACTGACTGCTGCACAGAGGCTCTGTTACATTCATTGCTCTGCAGAGATCAGATGCAGCTGTACTGAGATTCTGAATGCACAACTGAAATAGTTGCCCGTGAGACTGGCAACACAGTTCTGCCCACCTCAGGTTATTCCAAGACTTCTCTTAGGGTCTTGAGCTGAGATCCATATGGGAAAAGAATAACTTGATGAAATTTCCCAGAACAAGCAGAAAAACAGGGAATCAAATCCAGCCCCTAAGTGGCAAAGTGACCTAAGCCACCAAAGCTTTTGTGAAAGTAAGGAAATGCAGTTCGGTTACATATACTTTTATTTCTGTCTATGCTCTTAGAATGAATGTTACCCTTAAAATTTTGTTATAAAATGCTTTTAATAAGATTCACAAAGTTCAAAGATGTTCAGATTCCACTGTAAACTGTTTTCTTGCCTAAGGGCAAATGTGATCCCAAATTTTACAAGTTTGCATAGCCCTGCAGTCACATCATGTAGTGCAGGAGGCCATGCCTCTGTAAATGATGATAGAGGGCCTGAGACCATCAGTTTCTCATAACCCAATGCAGGTGACTTATCCTGAGTTCTGCTGCTTTGAAAAAAGATGAGTCCCCTCACAGTTGCTAAAATTATTCTATTATATTAATAGGATAAAAGTGGATTTTAAAATGAGATACATTTCTGGCTGTAAAGAAGGTTTTTGTTTTTAAAGTGATAGAGTTGGATGTGTTTTCAGTGGCTTTGAAGACTGTTGAGAATAAAGAAGAAAGATTTTTGAAGTTCCTTTAGATCTCAGACCTGGGGATTCCTTTTCCAAGAAATGCAAAAAGAAAAGGGGGAAAAAACCCTTAACGTCTTAGAGGAATTCATTTCCAGATTGCACTGCAGTTAAACAGTGCTGAATTATCTCAGGAATTTAATAGGTGAGGTGCCAGTAAACTTCTCGAGCATCTGGTGACCTACCCAGTATGAGGAAGGGAAAAGGAAAGTAAACGACTCTTTTGAAAAGTAAGAAAACTTTGTAAACAATTCTACATCAGCTTCACATTTAACAATGGAGTTGCCAGAATTTTTCCTGTAAGATCTATAGAACTTGGGGGTTTTAACTTTTTTTTTTCTTTTTTTAACTTTTTAACAGTATTTGGCAGAGGAGGGAGGATTTTTGTATATATCTCATCTTAACTGAGGTACCTCATCCTGAATTCTTAACTGACTTTCTGTGAATTCGGCTACAGAGCTAAAGTTTTTTTCTGCTTCATGGCACCAAGAGTTATGACCAAAGCACATTTTCTTCCTACCAGAATGTAAATACTGATTTCTTCTGTTCTGTCGGATTTACTAATAGGCCAGTTAGGGGATAGCCTAGTTCCTTCCTCCTGACTGATCAAATCCCCTATATTGCCTACTGGGGACCAACAACTGGTATTGAATGTAAAATGCAGGAGTTCTTTGACTCTGCTTGAATCCAAGATCAAACTCATTTCTCTAAACCGTTTCAGAATATTTGTTTTCAGGCCTGTATTTTGGCAGATGAAAACCTACTTCTTTGCTATCAGTGGAATTGATTTGGTATATAAACACAAGTTCTGATTAATCACCTTGGCAATTAGCTTGATCTAGACCCACTAATATCAAAAATGGTCCTGTAATTAGCACCAAGGATAATGTCTTTGTTGTGTCTCCTGGCTTTGTGTTCTTCACATAAAACATGACAGAGCTTTCCTTCTCAGGACAGTTATTCTGTTCTGTTCTGTTCTATCCTATCCTATTCTATCCTATCCTGTCCTATTCTGCTTCTGAATTGAGATTCCTCTGCAAGCAGTTTGGACTATGGATGGGCTACATCTCACCTACTGATGGTGCCCATTTTACTCATTGAAAAGGGAGGGATTTATAGCAGTGGCAGTTGGGTTTTTCATCTCAGTTTTCTAAAGTAGGATGGGATGAATATGAGCCACAGCCTAGTCCACTTCAAACTTAACATGTAAAGACACAAGATTACAGTAATTTAGAAAAGTAAGGGATACAAGGAATAACCTTGGACTCAGAACTGAGTGTGTTAAACACACAGAATTATGACACTAGTTCTAGTTTTATGATTTTTCCACACAAAATATATCTTGGTCCGTAGAATCATAGAATATCCTGAGTTGGAAGGGAAGCACAAGGACTATTGCACACAACAGCCCCAAGAATCACACCATGTGCCTGAGAGCGTTGTCCAAATGCTTCCTGAACTCTGGCAGGCTTCGTGCCGTGACCACTTTTCTGGGGAGTCTGTTCCACATTGCTGCAAGTAAAATCCTTTGTTGGAAAATGAGTCAGAAAGTAAATATTTAAGCTATTGAAACACAGCTGAAATTCATTTGCTTATAATTAAAAGGAATATTCATTTAGCATTTTTTCAGTGTTTACCCAGATGCAATTAACAATACTTAGTTCTTCTGTAGTGAATTTTATACTTAGAGCACTTTACATATATTATCTAATTAATTATTATCTAATTATTATGTAATTAATCTTAATAATTAGTATTGAACTGTAGTTAGAATATTAATCGAGAAGTAAAGCAAATTTAAAATTGAAGCATAGAATTTGAAACACAATTTTTGAGACACACAGTGGTTTGGCCAATAAATATGAAAAGTCTATCTGATTTTTTTTTGTACAAAAGAGCAAGTGCATATAATAAAGCTAAAAAGGTTAAAAAATCACAATAAAATAGGTAACTAACTTGCTTTCTGCTTTGTGTGCTCCACATGCATTAATCAAATATTCTCCCTCCTTCCATTCCTCCCTTCCATACCGTGTAATGCAACAGAATGAAGGAATTTGCTTACTAACAAATATGCCAACAAGGGACAATTTACACATTATATGTCCATGCTGGAAGAGTCCCTTTGCTGAGTATAGCAACTACTCCTTTTGCCAACATTGATTTTTAAATTTCATTTCTGATGAATTATTAATAATTTGGATCAAGGTGATAGCAAAGACAATTGATTTCTTCTGCTGAGCATACTCCAAGGTCTGGATTCTTGGTTAATAAGATGTTGTCCTCTAGGTTTTTAATTTAATTGGTGGATACTTTATACCTGGATATAAAGGGCAAATTATGTAGGGCATTTTAACACCAGTTGTTTATATTTGAGGTTCAAATACCGGAAAAATAATTATTATCAGCTAGGTTTCAGAGTTTTATATGTCTTAAATAGTTATCTGAACAGATCAGCATTGGGGTCACCAAGTTTTTTGATGAGTATCTTTGGCTTGGTGTCATTGTGGCTCATTTTCTTCACCCATTCAACAATACTAATACACTACTAATGCTTATGTTAATGTAACCTCTAATTGTTTGTAAAATAATTACCGATTCTGCAGAAGAGGTGAGGGCAAATGGTGATGATCAGTTCTTGAGTCACCTGATGGGGATGTGTGGTAGCTGAAAGTGGAGGAATACTTTTGTGGCTACCAACACCATGGTCTTACCTCCCCTTCCCTTTTCAGCCTCTGTTTTTTGCTTACATTGGGAGAACATGAGCTAAATGTGAAAAGTAGAATCCTCTGCTTTTCACAGATGAGAGGCAAAACTGTCTGGCCCACCCAGGACTATATATGGGGGCAAAGTGATTCTTTACTGGCTTCACGGGGACCAGATTAATCCCAAGGGGACAGCAACTTTTCAGTCACTGCACAGGACACAACAGTGAGGAGCTATTTCAGTTCTTTAATGAGACTCGTCTCACTTAACTGTTCACATGGGCAGGATCATCACCAACACTCATAGAAGGCTTTCTTTAGAAGCAGTGGGGAGAAGAACAGATACATTTAGGATGTGACTCATTAGATTTGATTTAGCGTAACAGGATCCGTGTATCTGGACTACGTGCATGACACAGGCTTGTTGAGACAAGCAGGAGTTTGAAAAGTCAGTAGAACAGGGAATTGTCCCAGGATTTAAGGATTTGGTTCCTCAGAGAGTAATTCGTACTTCCAATCAACTTCTGAAGATAACACTTTGAAACAAAGATGATGGCATAATTAATTAAATTTGTGCTGTATACATAACCAAATACTGAAATTGCTTGCCTCATACTGAATGATTTTGGATATTTCAGGATTTCTTCCTTCTGCCAATTAAAGACTAATACTAATCACAATGGACTGAAAATCCTTTTGTTCTGCATAGCAGTAAGACAAATGGTGTATGAGGATCATTTGCATTCTGTTATCCATATTGGTTTAAATCCAAAATAAATAAAAAATAGATACTGTCAGTAATAGAATTAAGTTTTGCTGTCAGGCAAAAAACACCTAAATTCCCTGTCATATTTGATTATAGTTTACAGTAGTTGGGATGATTGTAACGAAATGTATTTCTAATATATTTCTAGTGATAAATAATAAAATGTAAAATATCTCCTTTTTATTTCCAGTGTCCCAGTAAAACATTCGGAGGTTTTGATTCCACCAAGGACCTTCCTGATGAAGTTATAACATTTGCCAGAAGTCATCCAGCTATGTACAACCCAGTATTCTCCATTAACAACCGTCCAATCATGATTAAAACAGACGTGGATTATCAGTTCACACAAATTGTGGTAGATCGAGTAGATGCAGAAGATGGCCAATATGATGTGATGTTCATTGGCACAGGTAGGAAGTCCTGAATCTACAACGTGCCTCCAGGCATGGTGGAAACATAAAGCAGATAAAATTTCATACTCTGAAAGACAGAACACTGACAGAACAGTGTATACCTGTGAAAATTTGGGGCAGGACTCAAAACCGTGTGTGTGGGGAGCTCTTTGTTACATATGTTGACTGTTGCAGGTTCAGGCCGTAGCCTGCATAGCTAAACTCTTTAGGAGTTTTGCCAACTGGATTAAGATGAAACCACCCTCTTTTCAACTACTGTTATTAGGGATTTTTATTAGAAATATCTTGCCTTATTAATTATAATTTAGTATTAAAATGAGGGTTTGAAGTGCAGCATAAGAAGTATTAACGCAAGTAAGGCAATTATCCAGGTATGGGAAATGTCTTGTGTGCCTTTCAAGTATTTCAAGTATTGCCTTAAGATGCTCAGCTCTTTAGCCAAAAGGATGCATCATTTTACTTAAGATGAATATATCTGGCACATGCAAAGTGTTTTCAGAAGAGCTGATATTCAAATAGAAACATGATATCCTTTCCAAAGCATTTTCAGAATCATACAGCTTGGGCATCTCATAAAAGTGGAAATATGCACCCAGAAAAGACATTTTCTCCCGAAAGGTAATAATGAGAAATAAATGTGTCCAGAAATCAGGTGATATTCATTTTCCTAAGTCCAATACCTTCAGAACTGTGCTGAGTAGTAGTTGGTGGATCTGTTTCTTCACCTCTGAATATTTTCCATTGGTGGTCTGATGTTTCAGCTATGTTGAATAAAAGTATTTTAAACTTCTACTGAGCATAATTGCTAGTAATTAGACGTTGGCATCATGAAGCCAAAACAAATCAAACCAAAACCCTACTGTTTCTTTTCAGCTTTAGACCAAAGAATATCTGTCTGACTGTCTCTCTTATAACAGTCCAATTTTTTACATGCTTTAAATACAATTCTGGTACTCTAGACCTGGGGTCAGATTTCCAAAGCAATAAATATCAAGGTCCCTTTCATGTCGATGCCTGAAATATATTATGAGTAAACTGAGAGCTGATGAAGTTTTGTGTACCAAACACAGTGCAAGCATAACAATTCAGACCATTTACTGCAGAAAATGCAGCTCTGCAGAAAGGGTTATGGCACTTTAAAGCTGTGAACTGAGTTATTAGATACCAGTGCTATAGTGCTCTTGCACAAAACACTAAGAAGTATTTCCATATGATTTTATACAACACATATATTTTCCATCACTCATTAGAGACTTCAGTGTCATCTAAAGTTGGCAGTATTTGGTGCCTTTCAACAAGTCTTCTGTGACCTGTCAGCTCAGGGAAAAAAAAAAAAAATTAATGGCAATACTCCCCTTGACTGTGCTGTGAGGGAACAAGCCCTTCAGCATCGAGAGTATGGTGCTGAACAAACATAAGGAGCTGATTTAAGTCTATATCTTGAGCAAAAGAGGTGCCATTTATCTCACCAAAGCTTGGTATTCAGACTGAAAAAGATGCATTGGTTTCTGCAAGGAAAAGCAGTAAGTTCTTCCAGAGAGAGATTCGTTGTACTTTCTTCAAGGCCTCTGTTAGAGTAAGGTGAATAGTAACACAGAAGTTCCTGTCTGTTTTCAGACAGCGCAGGAAGATTTGCTTAAAGCTGAGCTACAGCTTTTATATAGTTACCATTATGTATACTAGTTCTTTAGTTATCATTATAGTAGTTCTTATGTAAATCGGTCAGGCAAGATCTCCCTCTAAAAGAACCTCAGTGATAATTTTTACCTTGAGTTGGGAATTTAGGCATCCACCTAATTCCCTAAACCATTAATATTCAGGTGTGTGGTAAGTGCTTGGGATTCCATCCAGTGTAGGCAATAGCCATGTTTAAGAACTATAAGCAAAGTATTGAAACATTGTTACTTGTATTTGCCAAAAGATATTTCAGCAGCAAAATCCCACCTTTGCAAGTGTATAGTGTTATTATTTCTTGAAATACTATTTTTGTCCATAGAAACTGTCCTTTTCCCAGCAGGACTTTATACCCTCATGGGGCAAGAACAGGCATTACAACACCCATGCTTGGAACTGGAATACAAAAGATGTGCCATGCTCCTCCAAGCTCACTATCCGTACTGTGGTTTTCAGAATGAGGAAAGGGCATCTTCCATGTGGGGGAAAAATTAAAGAGGCAGAACCCAGGCCCTGCCTACCTTCTCACTGAGCCAGCTGGTCAAAGTCAAATGAATCAGAAACAGATACACAATCAGAGTGTATTACATCTTCCCAAGCAAAGAACTAAACCAGGGAGCAGATTAAGGACTCTAGTCCATTTTCCCACTTGATGATCTAAAGCCAAAATTATGCTCTCTGGGGTATGACTGGGTTTTTCTGTGCAGGTCTGTCCCATCAGATTAGATATATTTCTCTGTGTTTTCCCATTGCTGTTACAGCAGTCTACATTATTCCCATGTGCTGCTGAACTGCAATATATTGGAGAAATACTTTTTTTTTCCTTTTCATTGAATAACTGATGATAATTGAACACAACATAATTAATAGCCACCCAGTGTGGTCACATTTTCCTTTCCTGTGGGTGAAATCTTTAGCTGAGCAGTTTCTTTCCCACTCTGATTGTAGCACTGTGTTTCACAATGAAAATAAAATCCTATCGGCATACTTGAAAGTATATCAGAAAAAAACAGGATTTAAGATATGCTCTTAATGCATATCCTGAATGTCTAATGTTTGGGATCCTTTGGCACAGTCAAAGTCCCTCTGTCAGTAAAACAAATTAATAAGAGTAATTTTATCTTACTAAGCAGAGCCTATTGATCCTAAAGGAGACGCCTCATTCCATTTGTGTGAAATCGCTTGAAATACTACTCTGTAAAACTTGATCTAGAACTCAGATAAAGCCCCACTTTGTTACCTGTGGCCTGACCAGAGTCACCACAGTGATTAACACAGTGTATCTTTGACCTCAGAGGCTTTCTTGAGATCAAGCAATTGTAATTGTTGCAGGATCCACTTAAAAGTCAGACCTTTTGTGGAAACAACGTTCTGGGAAGCTTGTGTGTCTGCTCAGTGCCCACTCAGACTGCTTCATGAAAAATCTCCCTTTATTTCTAGGAAATGGCATTTGATAGATTTTGATTGAGGACAGTCCTAGTCCAACACAGAATACAGTTGTGACACTTTGCTACGCTGTTAAATTTATTAGATCGGAGTTCTCTGTTTTTTACCTGTAAAATGTATTTTCCTCAAAACCACAGTGCAAAATATTAGGATAATTAAGGAAATGAACTCATCCATTAAATTACAAATATAACTAGTGCTAAGCTATCTGTCATTCTGAATTACTATGTGGATTTTTTCTCTTCTTGTTTTGAAGTTTATATTGCATTTGTTCTATACTGCTCTCAATATTTCTTGAATTAAATATATTCAATTAGCACCAGTAACCATAATGAAAAGCACTTCCAAACCCACTTATCTAGTATATTGTACTAGCTTAGTTTTTACATATAGCTGCCTAAATAAAAACAAAGTTTTGTTTTGCTTTGCTGTTGCTTTAAGAAATAACTGTTTTTTTCTTTTTAAAAAAGAATATATGAGTTTGTGACTAATACAAGGAAACAGCGATATACATATTCTTGGGGGGGGGGAATTACATCTTTCTAAACTTCCAAAAATATGTATTTAGAAACCAACATCTGCTTAAACAGAAGCAGATGGAAAAAAGAAAAATCTCAATTCTACAGGATATTCTAGGTTTTCTAAGATATTTTAGTACAAATTCATTTAAAGAGGTTAAATACCAGAATTTCATTAAATCGTTAGCTCTTAAGTTAGTTGCCCTATAAAAACATTTTCAACATGTGTAATCTCTTTGTTTCAATTTTATGCATATTTTAAATATAGAAGTGGTGTGTTGTCATCTTTTTGATCAGAAGTTTCAACTAACACACACAAATATATATAATTATAAAATATACACCTGATTTTGTGTAACTGATGGTTAAATTCTTAAGAATATTGACCCTTATAGTTCTTTCAGAATTTTATCCACATAAAATGCTTTGTATTTTCCTAAACTATTACTGCTGTAGGATGTGCAACATGAAAAGTCCTCGGGGATGTAGTTGGTATACCTATGATACATTTATATGGCACTACACTTGGCTGGTTAAAAAGAAAAGTCACATACTGAGTGTTTGCATTTCAGAGAGTCTGCAGTGATGTGTGCCAACCTAGAAATGATTCTTTTGCTGTTTTTTTCCTGGAAATTTTGTTCATGGAAACAAAGAAATAAATCACAGATGCAGAAGCTGTATAACAGAGGTGGTCTTCAGTCTCAACCATGTTGACAAAAACAAAGGCTGTAGCTCTGGAATTTCAAGTGCCGGCCTTGCACATGTTAAAGCCAATTGCAAAACTCCAAAAATGTAAATGGATTTAATATTAAAATTCTGGCACACGCCTATTTCTAAACCAAAGATTGAAGTTGTATGCTTTGTACTCCTCAGTGAAGACCAGTACCTAACAGACAGAGAAATGTCTTAAGGGGCTTATACATCTTCGGTACTTTGTTTGACACAGGGAAGATCTCATGTACTTGAGAGACCCAACAGATTCATCTGTCTGACAACATTTGTCCAGATGGTTTTACTGTCTTTACATGGATTTTAGGAAAGACAAACATCATATTCAAAATGGACTATAAAACCTACCTGGGTAAATGTAATACATTTCCTTCCTCAATTATGCATCTGTCATTTTATACTGTCACTTAAATAGTATTTCATTACAGTTTATTCTTTAATAACTATGGTAGTATATATCTTCTTTGTTGCATTTTGATAACTGAAAGACTTCAGTAAAATTCCCTACTGAAATTCGGTGTTTTCTGAGGTTATTTTAAATAGCAGCTTTTATTTTGAATGAGTGCTGAGAGATATGTAGCTTCACAGTCTTTATATGTGAAATAATTATATACTACAAGAAACGCTGGCTGCTACAAAACTTAAGTATTCATCTTAAGCACCTGAAAACTCCTTTTTTTTTTTTTTTCTTTTCAAGATATTGGAACAGTTCTTAAAGTGGTTTCAATTCCTAAGGAGACTTGGCATGAATTAGAGGAAGTCTTGCTGGAAGAAATGACAGTCTTTCGGGTAAGTGAGGCTAAATTTCAAGTGTCAGGTTGTAGATTTCTCTGTGGACAGCTGCAAACTCAACTTCTTGCACTCTAGCCAAGGAATAGCCTGGCATACACCTCTAATTAGCTTGTTATTTAGAGAACCAGACACTAGTCAAAATAAACTTGAAACTTTCAGTGCTAGCTGGAGGTTAAGGATAAAAGGAGTGGTATTGTCGACTCTTTTTTGGTGGTTTAAAAAATAAATTATTATTTCTGAATCTTAGAGCTGTTGCATGCTGGAGTTAAATATCTACCTGTGCAAGTCTAGGAATATTGCCTGTCTGTTGTCTCCCAGAGTTATGCAATATATGAATTTATAGTTGTATCAACTCTTAACACTATTCAGACTATCAGCATATTGTAACTAGGAAGATACTTTGGGTAAACCAGTGATGTGCCCAGATTTTTTACAGCTAAGAAACAAAGAAAGTGTTTATATTTTCAAAGGCGACTTAGGGACTCAATTTCATGGTTTGACATCAGGCACCGTAAACACCTCCTAAACTTCAGCACTTTTTGGTGAAAATCAATCTCTCCTATTTTTCCTTTTGAGCCACCTAAAAAATATGGCATCCCATAGGCACTCCTGCGAGGCGAAGTTGAGCAAACCTTTCAAACAGTTTCCAGACAGAACGCAGGAATGTCTCGTGTTTTGTACACAACAACGAATCATTTACATTCCCCAGGTTGTTCTTGTCAGTGCCGTTTTATGGCACCATTTCATTGGCTCCAGGCTTTTGGGGGGTTGATACGTAGCTGGGAGCACGAGGTTAATCTGACGGCACGAAGATGATCTTTGCATGCTCGGAGGGCCTCGTGTCGTGTGGTTTCGCTCCAGATGTGCTGACAAGGACTGTGTCCTGGACCCGCCAGAGGGGCCCAACCACCACATCCTCATCAAACTCAGTTGCCATCCCTTCATCTTTGGTTTCTGAACAGAGACAACATATGTAAACAGAGCTTATAAATATTTTTATTATTATTTCCAATATTATGTTTAGTTTTCCTTATGAGAAATCTTGCTTTTACTGGTCCCAATCTTGTTTTGAGTGCCAGATATAACTGAAATATGGGTGTCTCTGTTTCTGCGGTCATTTTTTTTGAGGGCAGACAATAGAAACTATAAGTAAACTATGAGTAACATGGGAGAAGTAATTTGTGAATCCTGGCTTTCTTTTTCTTTTTTTTAATACATCCAAAAGTCATTACATTAATGCAGAGTAATTTGGCAATTGCTGATAATGTATGAGTCTCTTCTCTAAATCAAGTAGAAGTGCCAAGCTAAAGGAGATCAGACAGAATAAAAAGGGAAACAAGGAAAATAAATGGAGTGAGTTTTATTTCGGAAAGGTTTTACAGAAGCAGAATAGTTAGTGCCAAGTTCAAATTTAGTATTTTACTTTATGTGTGTATTTTTTCATTACACAAAAGGATTTTGGTGCTCTGATTTACTTGAAAGCTTTTTTATCTCCTTTGGCATGTTTTTAAGCCTTAAAAAGGACATTAATGTATTTCAGTGGAATAAGGAGAATTTGTGTGCATGAGATATGAATCTTTCAATAGGGAATTTGCAAAAGATTTTTCATGTACCTTATCCAAATGTAAGTTTTCTTTAGTTGCTAAAGAGTCCATGTACATCATGAACAATGTATTTTGGTGCTTAAACCGCAATGTTCTGAGTACAGTGCTTTCCATTTATAATTCCACAAAGCTGAAAGCCTTTCATGTCTGTTACATTGATAACAAATGCTTCTTTTAACCCCATTTGTGCAATATTTATCTGAACAGCTGAGCAAACAAACTAATGAGTTCAATTTCCATTCAAAAGTTACGCTTAATCGATGCTTTCTAATATAAGATCTGTTAAACCCCCTGCAGTGGCAAGTCCACATGCTTACCATCCACTGACCCATATCAAATTCTCTCAGGATAACCAAGTTGAAAGCCACAGAAGTGTAAAAGCTTAATAAGGACTTTATTAATGTACATAACCAAAAGTATAATGCGTGGGATTAATATCAAATATTTAGATGGAATAAAGTTCATGCAAAATTGACTTGCACACTTTGTAACCAAATTATGAACTTTTACTCTGAAGATTAAAATCCATCCAAGAAACTGGGCCTAAAAGGTGTAACAGTTGATTAAATAATGGATATTCTAGGGAGTAAAAAGCCTTGTGCTCATTTCAGTTGTGTGTTCCGCAAATGTGAGTAACTTCTTTGTAAGAGAATAGTGTGGTGCAGTCAACAAGATTACTCTTGGGATTAAGACTTGTTCTTATGAATAAAATTTCACAGGAATTGGGTTTTCACCTTGGTATGGTTAAAAGGCGTTGCTTATTTCAGTGTTATCACCCTTAATATATAGTATCTATGAATATAGCCATTATTATTTTCATATTTCCTGAGAGGTTCTTTCAATGGAATTTTAATATTAAGTGTAGAAAGTAATTTCAAGATGTGAAACTAGTGACAAAATAATCACAATGAAACTGTAATAATAATGGAAAATTACATGTCTACAATCAGTACAGCAATCAAAGATGCATGCAGATATGTACATGCATTCTAATTCATTTACAGCTAGAAATTACTCCACTGCAAAAGACAACAAGAGTTTTGTTACTAAAGAGTTCATAGTTTAATTTCAGGGTTTCTAGGTTGTGAAAATAGCATTGTAATAGAATTTTTATGCTTACAGCTCATTTTATATTTTAACTCTATTTTTCCCTAGGAACCTACTGTTATTTCAGCAATGAAGATTTCCACAAAGCAGGTACTGTGTGCACAAACGTTAAATCACTTTCAAATATTTATTGGTCTCTGTCTTTTAGAGACAGTAACTTGGCAGTCAGCAGAGACATATTAATTGCAGCAGCAGCATCCCATCCCTTTACATAAACATCAGTAGTTTCTCAGGAAAATGTGACATGCAACAGAGAAAGGAAAAGTCTAGTTTGTGTTACTGGTAAGGTGGAAACTAAACACAAACTAACCAGGTGTCTGGTGGCTATCTAGAAAAAAGCCAAATAAATTCCATGTTATAGAAAGTTTTCATGACAGAGAAACTGTTGAAAAGGAGTGGACAAACTTGGTCTCTTGCTTTAATGGGACTAGTTCTAGTTTCTATAGGAATAGTACAGTACCAAATGCAGATGGCGGAAGCAAAGGATGGAAATGAGACATCCTCCTGTCTTTTTTGTCCTATGCCCATTCCATTCCTGGATGTGTGTCGTTCAACTTTCAGAAAGAATTTAGATCTGTTTCAGTCCAAATTTTCCATGCCCTTCTGGTTCAGTGATGTGGTTAGGATATGGGTTCAAGACTCCAGAATTTATATTTCCTACTTTCTACTGAGTACACTAATAGCTAACTGCTTATTGAAAAGATATGTATTATAAGGCCAGATCATAACTAAAATGAACTGAACCTCTTGATGGATAGAGGTGAAGTTTTGTCTGACTTACAGTAAAAGTGATTCCTGAATATCTAAGCAAATACAAGGACTTATTATTAGGCTTCTTTGTGAAGCAGTTGATGAGTTATATAGTCGTGCAAAGAACACTGAGTTGCAGTCCAGGAATGAAGTGGGTATTAAAGGCCTATCTTCAGTTTTGCCCGGAATTCAGTGGATGGAACCAAGCCACTGTCATTTCCTGCTTCAGGACTCTGAGCATAAAACTTAGTGTCAAATTTAACATTTTTTTTCTTCTTTTTCACATTTGTGCTGATTTGGAGCCTAATTTAGTAAATATAAGTAACTTGTTCACGCTCATTAACTTTTCTGCTAATGCCATTGTCAGTAAAGAGGAGAATTGGTATTACTTCAGGACTAGGTGCACAGAAAATTGTGCATGTCATAAATTAGATTTAGTTAATTCATCTACCTCACTCTGTATATTAGTAAACAGAAGTTAAATTCATTATGTAATGGACAGAGCCTAGTATTACATTTCAAATTATGCATACTTAACTCTGAATTCACTGTATTTAGGAAAGTTGTCTGAAAGCAGTCATGTGTTTGATAAAAAATTTGGGGTGAGAACGCTCTTCTAGGATACTTTACCACCTAAACCAACAAAAATGGCAGGACCAAAAAAAAGGTACTATTGCATACTGGAATATTTAAAAACAGACCTGTCAAGTTGTGTATATGTTCACATCATAGCAAAACGCTCTGCTTTGGATTATTTTTATAAGTACATTCCCTTAAAGCAGCCAATCATATGTGAAAATTGACCATGCATTTTCATGCAGCTTCTTCTTCAAAGCATCTTTAGTTATTCAGGAGAGATTACAATTTTCCTTGAGTCTTCTGAAAACAAATTTACACTGCTAAAATTGTTTAAAGCTAAAAAAGAGCATACAACACAAGTTATTCAGGCAGAGTAAAACTCGTGAAAAATCAACCAGCCTCAGGCTAAAAATGACAGAATCATGATACAGGGTGACAAACTTTTGGCAGTATGTATGAAATAAGTATATGGCAACATGTTTTCATTTTACATTTATGATTTAAAAATCCTTTAGCTCTAAAACTCAAACACTTTACTCATTGTGTTCTGATAAGCAGGGCAGTTTTTGTATAAACAGCACGATAATTCTATGCATTGTAGAAAGCAGGAGCATGAAATGTAAACACTAAAACCAGCATGTTCTATTGAATCCCTTGGTTTTTCACTAACAAATCTTTCATCCAATTAAAACCATGGTACTGGAAGCTTCTCCTTATTTCTTAATGTTTTTACTACTCTGATTATTCAAAGCTACCTCTTTTCCCATCATGCCAATCTGTCATGTTACAAATTACTCTTCTAAAGACCAAAATCTACAAATTCTTCAGGAGCAGAACTTAGCTTAAGTTTTAAATTGTGTGAAGCTATAAGGCTCCCATGTCTCTCGCTCTGAGTATAGATTTGGCCCTCGAGCAAGTGTGTCTTTGAGCAAGGGAATTTAGCCTTTATGTGCAAGACTAAGCTTGCTAGTCTTTTGCCACTCTGCTGTCATTAACTCACAGGAATTGCATCTGTATTTTCTCACTGAAGCTACATATTTCTCCTAATTGTGTTTAGAGCCCTAGGTTTGTGTAGCCCTATCACTTAAACAGTGTATGCATGGTTAGCAATAGACACAAACCATCAGAGGATGGCATCCTTAAGCTACTGCAACACGCTGCAGCTGCCTAAGGTCTCAGTTCTGTGGGACACCCTAGCTACCGCCTTGCCCTGAGCCTGTCAAGTGGAGCTCCATAATTTTTTCCTTGATTTAGAAATGTGGGACCAGGCCAAAAAGTCAGGCCTGGTTTTCAGTCAAAGGTGAAGTTTTGTGGAGCAAGCTCTCATCTCTTTCTCAGGTTCAGGTTTGTGATGCTCTTGTTTCAAAAAGCAATTGGATTTCTGGTGAAATGGGAAAAGGACAAGAAGATCCTGAGCTGATAAAGGCCAAGTCCTTGTCTGGCGGACTGCTTTGAAGATCTTTTGGTTTTCCTCTATAAGATTTTCAAGAAAAGTGAGGGCAGAGACCTTCAGAAATACCTTAGTGACTATTTTTATAATATATTTCACAAAATACTGAATTTTTTTCAAATATCACCATTTCTGTCCATATTGGGAATACAGAAAGGACTGGCTCAAAATAGATATACCACTTAAACAGCCTCCTGAACTATTCTGCAATCGCTTTCCAAGGCATAAAATTAAATTAAATGGGATTTGAGCCTCATGCTCCCTAAAGTTCCTTTTAAAATTCTGCTTAAGTTCTTCTTTTAAGCATTACATTTTTTTAATATCTCTTTCTCGTTTGTTTTTTTTTTTTTGATTCCAAATGGAGAATTCTGTTATCTCTGTCTGACTTGGGAAAGACTGCTTTTTTGGGCAACACCAACATAAAACACTGGATTGCTTAGAAAATTAGTGTCTTCAGTTTTTCTTGCGTTCTAATACTTCTGCAAGAACTTTTAGAGGACAGCCTTTTTTTTTAACCCTCTCTGGTTTGATCTGATAATCAGCTCATTGATTAAATTAACGTCTTGGGAGAGACTCTGCCCAAAAGGCAGTTTGACTGTGTATGGCAAGGTAAGGTCAGATCATTGATGCAGATAGTTCTATTACTATTTTCTGATTTTCTTACTGCCTGGATTTATATATTGTTGGTGTCCAGAATAATTATCACCAGCTGGAGTCTAAAACCAGGATCAGAAGAGCAGCAAACAGGGCAGCAGCTTCAGGGTGTGCAGCACCTGAAACACATCCTGAAGTTCACTGGCTGAACTTGTCTAAAAGGAATAGAGTCTTTAAGTAACCCTATTTTGGCCTCCGTTGTTTTTTTGTGTGGTTTTTTTTTTTTTTACATGTTTCTGCTCATTCTTTAATTCTAAAGACATTTATTAGAAATCATGGAGGGTTTTTTTACCAAATGAAATTGGTTACAGAGGTCCATGAGAAACCATTACACCATTCTTTATTTTCCCCTGTGCATTCTCTGGGTTGATTTTTATATTAGTTGCACCACACGTTCGTATACGCTTATACAGATATTAATGCCCCAATTACACAGGACTCAGATCAATACCATCTGGACATTTAAGATACTTAACTGAAGCTCTAATTTGACCTATGCTGCCTCCGTAATCAGTAAAGAGAAGAGACATCCCTTGAGAAGCAGTTAGGTCACCTAAGATTTGAATTGCTGCTCTTTTTACTGCAGGACATAGCCCTAAGGTGGACACTTGATTAAGTGACTTAAGTTTGAGAGAATCAGCTTATCATGTCTGTTGCCTGTTATCTCTTCTCAAGGCTACAACACTAACTGGGATGTGCAGTTAAGGCTTTGTGTAGAGCTCTCTGTGGTCAGAGATTTTTGCCTGGAGAATGTGGGTTTACAACCCAGCTATGAAACTATAATAGATGGAAACAGCTGCTTAGAAAGGGTTTAGTTTTCAATTTACCAGTAAATTTTCCTGTGGGTGATTTCCTTGTCATGTTTTCCTTGAGAAAATACAAGTGTTTATATAAATGCACGGGATGTTTCTCTTACAATTAATATGTCTGTATAAACTGCCAAGCTGCTGTCTCTGAAAGAAGTTAATGCAACACCTTTTATGAGTGTTTTTGGTGTTGCTGTCTCCTGGTATCCAGTGCTCATAATTTCTAGTAGGTAGGTGACCTCAGCCGTCTTCCATCCCTGAATTCCCTGGAAATGGTGCCTCTGGGACATCACAATGCAGGAGATGAAGAATTTTGAAAACATTTCTTGAAATCCTGGTTTTCAATTTATATTTTCCAAGAAAAGAAAATTAATACAAATTTGTATTTTCTCGGTGGGACTGCTTGGAGTGGGACCTTCAAAAGAAAGGTATTCATTGCTCCAACATGGGTGCTGGGTGACAGAGTTTAAGCTTTGGATAGACAAATGTCAGTGTTTCCAAACCAAAAGGGTTGTGCCATTGAATTTTGTTTATATATTTTGTTTTCCCTAGTTTTGCATCTCACCCATACTTATTTTCTTTGTAAATTAGTGCTAATCTGAAGTATCTCTGTTTGGACTTTCACATGGGATCAGAAGTTCAGTTTTCTCATATCCCTCTGGGGACCAACTTTCCTAGTGGACCACATGAATTTGATATCAGAGAGGAAACTGCGAGAGACAAGATATTCTATTGTGATGCCATATGAGGCTGTAATTCATTTTGTATGCATGGGTTTTTATTTACTTCTGCCTTTGAACTTCATCTTCTACTCAACACTGTTTTTTATCCAAAATAAAATAAAGCCTCTCCCCTCATTAAAGATAGGTTCCAGTTAGAGTATGTGACCTACAGAAAAGAGTACAAAACGCCAGAATTATCAGACATGCAAAGACATGCATGCATGGCAGCACTTCCAAACTGGAATATCTTAGCATCAGTCTGAAGTAATTTACTTCAGGTTTCCCCCTCACATACATAAATCAAGGTCATACTTAGGAAATCTGTGTTGAAGTTTTGTTTTTTGTTTATATTCAAAAGTATATTCTCCATTGTGTTCTCTCACTGACTGTGGTGCTTTCCCAGTGCGGGGATCTGAATGAAAAAGAAAAAATTGAAGAGTACTTTAATTTTTTTACTGTTTAGAGAAGCGACCGAGAGCTTCATGCAAAAATAAAGTTTTTCCTATTTGATTTTTTTTAACCCTGGGGACAATTCTGTTCTCATTCCTCTAGTGTACATCAGGATCACGATCCTTTATTGTGTTTGTAATGGCCCTAGCATCTGATTATATAACTTTGTTATGCTTTCCTAGAAAAAAAAATTGTAATTTGCAATATTTTTTTAACTTATTTTCTCTTTTTTTTTTAATTTTTATAACAGCAACAACTCTACATTGGCTCAGCCACTGGAGTTTCACAGCTTCCTTTGCACCGCTGTGATGTGTATGGAAAAGCATGTGCTGAGTGTTGCCTTGCAAGAGACCCTTACTGTGCCTGGGATGGTTCATCTTGTTCACGTTACTTCCCCACTGCTAAGAGGTAGGGACAGTTTTGGATGGGTTGCTATTTGTTTGAACTGATGGTCTCAATATGACCAGAGGGCTTTGGAGATTTTTCATGAGATGGTTAACTGGAGCCCTTTCTCCTCCAAAGAAAACATTGTTGTGAGAGTTACATGCAATATGAAGTCTTGGTCGATTTAAAGTGACCACTGCTACTTCTTGGGCTGGCTTAAAAAGCTCCTGTAAGGAAACATTCATAGAAGAGTTCTCTTTGAAATGGATTCATAACTTTATATCCATTTATAAACAGAAAAAAGAAAAAGAAATCCTTTTCTCTATCTTTAGAAGGGGGCTTGAAATCAAAATAGAATCTCTACTTGCCCAAGTAAATTATTCTGCATTTTCATGAATTCTAATTCAAAAGAAATATCTATAAACTGTTTGGACATCAATAGAAACTTTTTTCGTGATAACGTTGTTATTATTCAAAAGTGTAGCTTGCATGTGTTGATGTGTGTCCAAGTGCTACCAGATCAGCACAACCACTTTTACACTCAGTCTGTAGTGACACTGAAGGCTTTGCAATGCAAACATTAAGGGAAAAGCGATTCCACAAGTCAAAAATACCGATTTTATAAAAAAGTCACAAGTCTAGTTGCCTGATATGAAGGTTTAAAATAATATTTTCTTTGCCTGCCTTTATCTCTGAAACTCTTTCTCTAAAAGTATACAAGCTTGTTACTGAAGAGCTCGGCTACTGAAGTAGAAATTAGGTATAACTGAATAGTAATCACTTGAAAATAGAAGCAGACTTTGGTGTAGTGTTGAGATTCCCATGATAAATTGGCCAAAATGATTTAAAAAGTACTCACATTAAATTGAATATGCCAGACATCATCTATTTAGGAAGAAACAAGGAATCCAAAGGTTTAGATACGTAAGGGTTTATGTAGATAAAATTAATGGTAGCAATACTAAGCTGAGAATGTCAGGACTCCAAATTCCAGGTTTAGATCGGTTGTTGAGGCAGATGAAATGTGGTAAAGGGTGGGAAGTTGAGTTTGTATCACAGACTTTTCAGATGGAGGGGATTAAAATTTCAAGGTTTACATTACAATGTATCCTAAAAAAAGAAAAGATTACAAAAATAAAAGCTTCTCCTGGAACATCAGGTTCTATTTTTTTGCACCAGGAAACAGAGTTGATCTGAGACAAGCTTCTTGTGATATTCTGTGAAAATAATTGAAAAGGAGAAATGGAACCCATCCCAAAAGAAGACCCAGTCAAATTTTCTCAGCTGCGTGGACTAAATTCTTATTTCTCGTGGTATCACGGAAGCTTCTCTGGAGGAGGATTGAAGGGAGAGGGAACAGTGAGGTTTTCAAGGAGAGTCTAAGAATTTGATTTGATCTGAAAGTTTTTAGGATTAGAAATCAGTATGTTTGAGTACTACCTCTGAGTTGAAGGAGACAGTAAGGTCAGGAATCAGTGAATTACTGTTTTCTGCTACTTTCCTATGCTTCTTTATCCCTGAACCTCATCGTTTCTCAGCATTCACTAGCACCCATTCCTACTCCCAGCCCATCTCAAGATCCATAGAGCACATAAACTGCCATTCATCTGCTTACACTGATGGAAGAAATAGGGCTCTTTGTCTTTTCCTTATCTATCTCTTAATGCACTGCAGACTGAGCTCACTGTTGCCATCATGGGTAAAGGGACTGGGACCTCTTCTCACAGGAATTGCGGGGCAGGGTTACTGGGGCTAAACTGGGTTGCACAGCCACAGAAAAACCTTGGGGTGCAGAATTTGCTCTTCTTAAGGCCACTGTGAAAGAAAAAGTTAGTCCTGGGGAGCTGGGATCTGAAAAATGCATTCAGAAAAAGCTGCTGTCTCCGCCACTTCCCCCCAATTTTCCCTTGGCAGCAACAGCAGCAGAGTCAAGGTCTGTGTTACTGGGGGAGAGGATGCTCGGTTTACCTGGTGCCTGCTGTACCCCCTGTCTCAAGCCAACTTGGAATGCATCTATGATAAAATCAGAATTGCTGGGAACAGCTTAAATGTCAACATTTTCCTAGTAATAAATTCTTGTAATTTTGGGCTCCAGAAATATTGGGAAAACTGAGTCCTGAGGCAATTGTACAGATCCTTTACTAGTAGTTGCTTTTGGGGTTTTGCTTGGGGTTTTTGTTTTGTTTTGATTTGATTTTTATTCTATTTTTACAAGCTTTTATAAACCTTGATTTTAATTTGCTTTTCTTTCTTTGTGCATTTTACAAGTATAAATGACAGTCCAGAGCTCCTGTTGTGTGACCACTTCACTTTACCCCATGCAGAGGTGTTCTGGTTCATATTTCATAAATCATCATGTTGATACAATTGTGATATGTGCGACATTTTCCTGAGATTCTGACTAAACATCTCATCCAAACTTCATTGACAGTAATATGAGTCTTTCCACAGACTTTTTTTCCTACGAATAGTATCCTATGACATGTTTCCAAATTTAGGAAGGAGTAGCAAAATTTTATGATTCCTTAAGTCTTGGGTGGGGTTTTGTCAGTGGTAATGAGTAATGTAGAGATATTGGAAATTATGATTAGTACATTTTTTGAATCATGTATCAATCAGCAGAAGATTCCTTATTACTAAGGAGTGCTAAGATAAACACATCATGAGTTTAAAGAAGTTTTTATTCAAAAAAATATAAAAAATTGGTAATCTCAATTTAAAAAAAATTCAGATGAGCAAAAAAAAAAAAAAAAAACTGTTGCTGTACTTCATGTAACTACTTTCAGGTTTAACATTCCAGTAGTTTTCAGTGGAAAAAGATATGGTTATAATCTTTCAGGCGATAGGAGTCAGCTGAGCAGTTGTGCCTCAGACAGAACTCTTGGCATGTGCTGATGCTGGGCTATTAGTGAGAGCCTGCAAATAGGGCTGGTGGAGAGAAGAGAGATGGTCTGTACGGCAGAACAATGGCTTTTAAAAATGTGGGCTGTTGTCACAAGGGAGTGACCAACAGGGCTTTTTACAAGGCTACTTGACTTTTGCATATCCGTTGCTGGATCCCATAATCTGAAATCGCAGCACTGTTCAGCAGCCTAATCCTCTTTGTTCTCCTCTAATTTTGCAAGCCCTCAGGCTTTCTCCGATTCCTAAAGTAAAGTGCTCTCACTTGAAACACATCTTTGTTTGCCTTGTTCTTTTTTCTTTCTTTTTATGTGAAAGCTTTTCTCTGGCTCAGTTGAATTTCGTGTCACAGCTATTTAAATAAAAATAGGAACAGACAAAGAGAGAACAACACATGCAAAATAAAACTGTATAGAAAAGCTCTCTTTTCTGAAATACATTTTTTTAGCACAGATCAATATGTTTTTCAAAAGAGCCAATAGAATTCAAACTGGGGAAAAATATACTAGGTTAAAAGGACATACAATCAAAGGTAGAACTCAGACTCAAGCTACAAAAAGTGGAATAAACAGCATTTCAAAATCTTCCTTTTCAAGTGTTTTATTCTGTTTATTCTAAAGACAAAGCCATTTGCAACAGTTATGTAAAAGGTTTTTTCAGAAATGTTCTGGTGGAATCTGTAGTGGCTGAAATGATCTATGTAGTTTAATTTAGGGTTTGTAGAAAATACAGCACTTCAGTGTTCTTTGAAAGCCACCCATCCTAACATTTCATCTATCTAAAAGGTGCCACAATATTCAAAGTATTCTGTACTTGCAGAACAGCTGTAGCTTCTTCATGGGTTTTGATGCATTTTAAACTGTACTATATATATTTTAATCCCTCAGCAATCCTATATCTATGAATCAAGTAATGAATTTGTCTGTAATCAATATTGCCCACACAGTGAAAATAAACATCATATTTTATGTAGTATATCTTTAATATTAATAATTAGTATTGAATTATTTTAATTATTGAATTATTTTAATTTAGTTTCTCAGTGCAAGAGATATGTATTTAGCAGTTTCTGAAGACTTTATCTGTAAGAGTAAAGCCTCATTCTACAAACCGTGACAATGCACAGAATATAGTAGTAGCAATATGATTTCCTTCCTAGTGTAGTTTAGATGCCCTTGTGACTTCTGTAATTATATATGTTCCACTCATTGCTCTTCAGTCACGGCGAATGTGTGTGCTGACCACTTGAGAAGGTCACTAACAGATTTCAAATATGATATTTGCAGGCGTACTAGACGACAAGACATCCGAAATGGAGACCCGCTTACCCACTGCTCAGACCTGCAGCATCACGGTGAGTTACGGGCACCACTGAAGTGCAACTAATTTGTATGTAATTTACAGACTGTGCATGAGTAGAGTAGGAAGCATGTCAATGATTTGTTGGTGAAATTGTCTCGAACATCTGTGAAAGATGAATATGATACATCATTATCCCAGTTTAGATAGCTTACGATGGGCTGGATCAGACACTAAAGAATATTTGGATTTTTTTGTTGTTGTTTTCCTCAAGTTAACAGTTTTAAACATTTTAATTTTCCTGCTTCTTTTACCTGGTACTATACCATCAGGTTAGGAGTATTATATCAGAAAAGACTTGTATCTCCTTCAGGATGGCAAGAAATATGTACATATTGTTTTATATAGTTTGCATAAGATAATAAGCAAACGTGTTTGTAACTACCTTGGCAAAATGTGGAATGACCTTTGTTGTAGGTGTCACACTAAAAGCTGTTAAGATCAGGATGTTCCTTGCAGTAGGCCTGTCCCATATGCTTTCAGCATGAGTTTTCTTGGACATATTTTGGTTTGGTTTCTTGTCAGCTGTTTCATTTTCACAGTGTATTGATCAGATTCCTTTCTGGACTTAAGTTTGACTGATAAACTTCACACAGTTACTAGTTTGTTGCCAAACTTTTCAGAAGACCTTGACTCAGAAGATTAAAAATGTCCCTTTTGCTGTAAGCGGAGGGAACACTTAGGCAATACTTCCCCCTGCTGGAAAAAAGTGAATCTTTATGATTGTAGTAGGTCTATATGCACACAGAATATTCTGAGTTGAAAGGGACCCACAAGGATCATTGAGTCCAGCTCATAAGTGAATGGCCCATATGGGGATCAAATGCATAACTTTGGTGTTATTAACACTATGCTGTAACCGAGTTAATCCAAGGGTTAAACCTCTGGACAGATCTCTGGGATAAGGAGGTGACTGAAAATGGAGATAGCTCAAAATCCTCGTGTCCTTCCAGTCCATGTAATAACAAAAATGATAAATAATCCAAAGTTGTACTTCTGTGTCAGCTATAATTCACCACTAATACATTTCACGAATAGTTTTCTCTGTGTTCCTTTCAATCATTTGAAACTCACAGCTAACATTACTATAGCTTTTCTTTTTACTTCTTGATTGTCAGACTCAGGCCAAGTTACTCAGAAGGCAAAAGGATTTGTAAAAATGCATGAATAGATTGTGATCAGTCTGTAGTTGTCACACTTTGAGAACTCACGAGAACTGGTTTAGATTTGAACTAGTCAATTGGCACTAGTAGAAAGTTCAAAAATTTCATGTTGCATCATATCAAGTAATGCAAATACAGTGCAGATACTGAGGCTGAGATGACATTTCCCGATAGAAAAATTTCATCAGGCACTAAATGTTGATTTTAATACCAGCAGAAGTGTGTCTTAGCTTTACCTTTTTACTCATGACATGTTACTCATGAGTAAAAATATGACCTGGCCTACCACGTGTCTTTCATTTTAATGTTTTCTAGCCATTGCCTGCTGTGCTTTATACAACTGCAGGTTTGTTCTTTATTTTCATAGGTGAAAAAAGCATTTCAAAACACTTTGGGGTTTTTTATATCTTCCCATATTTGGTAAGCATGTTTATCTGATAAAGATATGTTCTGTCCAAAGGGAAAAGAGTAATACAGTTTTGCAGTAATCCAGAAATGCATTTTTTTTCATTGCAACAATCATGGTACCCCTGATCACAAGGAGCTTTGATACAGCTTTGTCAAAATGAGAATAGCAAGTATCAGTAAGTTACAAAGAATACTGAGGGAATGTAGCTCTGGATCTTAGACTTGAAGGATGCACTGTCAAAATGCTTAATGAATGGTTTAGACTGGTCTTGAGATAAATTTTCTCTAAATTAATTGAGCTGTAAATCTATTACATTTTCCTATATTTACATGTCATTTACACATGATCGCACAGTATGTGATTACAGATGACTGCATGGCCTATGCCAGCTTCCTAGGCCAACTTATGCTGAGTTTTTTCCTTGGTTGTGACTAGTACTTTTCTGGACAACAGATGACGAATTGGGTTTGCTTACAGCCACAAATAAACTCCAGCAATAATTTACTACTTGTCTGCACATTCACTTGCAGTAACTACCAGTTGATTCTTCAATAAAAACATAAAAAAAGAAAAATCTCACTTTTAAAGATATTGCAGAAAACAACTTTGTGATCAATCTGAAGCACTAATGTTTTTAATAAGGTTTACATGGCTCTTTCCATTGCCCTTTGTTGCAAATGTATAAGAACTGGTATAAAATGACTACACAACAACATTAGAGGGAGCTGAGGATCCTTAGCTGTACCGATGTTTGGCCAGACATTAATGCTTAAATCTAAAAGCATGGACACCTTTGTGTCAGCTAAAGAACAATCTTTTTTAAGCATAACACACACGTGCTATCAAGAAGTTAATAAAAGCTTTTTTTTCTTTTCTTTTTTCTTTTTTTTTTTTTTTTTTAAGAGTTTGTAATAGAAGAGACACCTTTTTGAGCTGATTTATCCCAGGGCAAGTTCAAAGAATCACTCTTGAGTTAAACTATATAGTAAGATTGATTCATCTGCAAAGCTGTCTTGGTATAACTACTTGGCCTTTCATACTTCTTTGGTTATGTCAGAAATTATATACTTCAAGGATATTTATCAGGGTAGTAAACTGATACTGCTGTTGGGTTCATTTTGGAAATTACTGCTCTCAGACAGGATTTTGGGCTAAATTTCATAACCAACTTCACGATTTCTATACTTTTCTAATTCCTCCACCTGCTTTTCTGGACTTCCTAGGCTTTCATTCTTCCTTCTAGTCTCTTCAGCTTCTCCCTCAGTCCCAAAGCTGCACTCTGATCCTGTGATTATTTGATCACTGCTTATTTTCTTGCACTCCATGTGCTAAATGTTACATGGACTTTATAGACATTTCTGGACCTGCCTTCTGCTCCCTTAAATCATGGCAATGGAAACTCAAGGATCTCCTAAATGCTTCCTCTCTCATCTGTCACCCATACTTTATTTTCTGCAGCTGTGAAGAAATTTAAAGAGGGCTTCACTCACTTTCCATGGTGTTCTCTAACACACTAGAATGTCATAGATCAGATCCAAGAAAACAGAAGTTTGAAATGGTGTCAGAGCACCCAGTTTCAAACAAAAACTTGTGACTAGCTCCTTAGATACAAAGATATCCTAGGTATTAAGATTTCCAGCAGAAACTTCTCTGTTTACTTAAAATATGCCACTCCTCTTGGGCAGTGGGACTTTTGTGAAAAAAAGACCTGTTTTTGTCCTTTCTACTAACATTTAGAGTCCAGAAGATTATCTTCCTCAGATCTAATGAGACCAGTGTTACATACGCTCTGCTCCTACGTAATTCACTTGAACTCAGCTGTGTTCAGGAAAATATAGTCAGTGGTGCTGAGTAACCTGCTAGTTAAATCCACTATTTGGGATGTGGAAGATGAGGACCTAAAGTCCATTTAGGCTTAGGGAATTGACTTGATAGCTGTACTGCCAATACAGACAGCCAAAATATTGGATTCCTGTTGTTGAAGTTGGGCCATTCTGCAACCACAATTCATGGAGCCTAGGAGAGGAGTAAAAACAGAGCAGGCATCCTAGGGTGAAATCCCTGTGTTTCCATCCTTTATTCTGGAAGCCTGTAAATCACTGTTTTACAGAAACAGTTTGCTGGAGCAGTAACAGAAGTGTCCCAGGCTATAAAAGGGGACATTTCCTACTTAATGTTTTATGCTGCAGGCCTATATATGCTATCTGTTGTGGATTCCAATTCAGATATCAAACAACTTATCTCTGACTGTGTGAGGATCCTTGGCTGCCTTCTCAGCCATGTGAATTCTGTTCCTTAATCAGAGGAATTGAACAAGAAGAGTCAGTACATCATTCACAATGTTGAATCTGGACCCATAATTTATCAGCCAGTCAGTCCCAATTCCAATCTTTATCTTCCACTTCCCTTGTTTCATTGACACGAATTCACCCATGCTCCATCTCAGACCTTATCACCAGTACCCTTGGCTACATTCTCTTCCAGCTATCTCACCTTTCTCTTGCTGCTTTGCTTTCTAATTCTTTCTTCCATTGCTCCCTTTCTTCCTGACCCAGAGCTGCACTGACATTCTTCATGGGAATGTGGTTTCTGAAAGATGTCATGAAAGTTGTTTCACTTAGTTTTTTATAGAACACCCAACTTGCTTAAAAGGTCCACAATCCAGCAGAGGAAGGCAAGCAAACCCATTTCCTATTTGTTTAGTGTTAATAGGCTATTTGATGTTTTCTTGTTGAAAACTGGGCAAGCCTCAGTTCCTATTCTACCCTACATCCCTTTGCCCATCCCCTCTCAGGGCTGCAAGTCATTATTGAAAGGCATATGATTCTGTATCAACATAAACCAGGAGCTCAATTTTATTTTTACCTTTGGCTCAGTCATCTAGTAAACAGCCTGTGTTTGGTAAACAACATGGCCAATATGATAAAGGCACAGTTGGGGGCAAACAGAACTGGACAAAGGATTTCACTTAGAGGGTTTTAAATAGACATAATTTTCCTGTTAAAACATATCAAAACTTGTTCCTTAAAGATTTCCAGTGCTAAAGTTCAAAAGTGGAGAATGGAAAGAATGGCAGAGAATGGCAGAGTCAGGAAACCCCATGAGATCAACACAGTGTTAAATAGCCTACCAAGCCCTTCCTCCTCATCTACTCTTCAGGATTGTTGCTCAGTGACCACTTAATTCAATAACAGCATTTTAAAGAGCTAAGGTGGAGAGCTGAAACTTACAGCCTCTGTGGTATTGGAGAAGAATCAAATACCATATAAGTCCTATAGCTATGTGATATTTCCAGCAAGTTGATGAATATCTTGAAACATTGTTGTTACAAAAGGAAGTAATTTATTTAACTTTCTTTTTCCCCTCCCATAATGTCTGGTTTATTAACCTCATTACATTTCCATAAATTATATCAGTATGAGAGGAAATGATTAATTGAAGATCGTTTCCTCAAAAACATTATTTCTGGTCATTAACAGCTTCAGCAAACTGCAGTGCCATGTAATCTAAACACATTATACTACTTTTAAATAGCCTCATGTTTTATTACTTTGCTCTAAAGTATTATGACCATAGAGCCCAGGAGGCATCATTACAAACATTCTACAGCTACACCCTGAGTTTTCTCATTGCATACAGTTTGCTGTTAAAAATTCTTGTCATGTCCTAGATGTTTTCCTTGATGAATAATAATGAGGTTTACAGAAAATTTCACAATTAAATTCATTAACTTCCCATATTGAGATGTTAGCAGCTGTTAGGATTTAAAATACAATTAAAAAAAAAAAACCAGTAAAAACTAAAAACCTGCCAGGGATCCTTACAAAGATAGAGGTGTTGATGGAAATTTTTAAAATAGCATATTGATATGGGGAAATTTTTTTTGAAGTGTTTATTTTTAAACACTTTAAGGGAGTCCAATTTCTAAAAAAAACAAAAAAAAATTACTTAGCAATTAAGTGGGATTTTTTTCAGTAATTGTAATTCTTTTTTTCTTTTTTTTTTTCCATGCTGTACAGATAACCCAAGTGGTCACACCCTGGAGGAAAAGATTATCTATGGAGTAGAGAATAGCAGCACTTTTCTTGAGTGCAGTCCAAAATCTCAGCGTGCCGTAGTCTACTGGCAATTCCAGAAGCAAAATGACGATCGCAAAGAAGAGGTACAGTAGAAAAAAAATAAAGGGATGCAACTAATTTTCTCTATAAAGATAGACTTCAATCTGAGTCCTTCCCAGAACGATTTTAGTTTAGAAATTCTGCTAAACTTATTCTGCAATCTTATAATTTCCATTGTTCTTCACCATATTATCACTCTTATTACCATAAAATCCTGTAAGTGCTCAATAGGTTTTACAGATTGTTACAGCAGAAAACATTCATATCCTCTCCTTGCTCAGACTCCCTGCAAAACGCACTTGTTTTGCATTAGAGATACCAGAAACAGAAAAAGCTAACTACTACTATTTTGTCACCTAAAACATCATACAAGGATTATATGAACTTGAATAGCACAAAAACCTTAAAATTGCCTTTGAGAAAAAGTTTAACTGCACTCATTTAATTATACTATTTGACTGAAACATAGTCTATCAGAAGCATCCTACATACTGCATGCTCTAAGACTTTACTGCACATAAGACAGAGACAGAATGAAGAGCTGAGAACTGTAGTGGACACAAGAATATGAAAACCTGTACAGTTTTTCATCAAAAACAATATTCATAGAAGCAAAAATACTGACCTTCCCTATTTGCTTTACTCTAAGTTGATACTTTATTTAATCTCCTTCTCTTGTCACCAACATTCTTATGTTATTAATCGTCCAGGTTTTCAAGTCGTGTTACTATCAAACTAGATCACACATATCTTAAGAGAAGAATCTGCTCTGATAGTTAGAGAGGTCAACCTTGTTTTTTGCATTGAAGTATTTTTAAATACATATATATTTAAAGCTTTTTCTAAATAGTTACATTATCACCTTTAAATATTTTTGTTTTGTTTGCATAAGTAGTAAATTATTAAGAATTTATTCTCAGTGAAGAGAAGAGCAAAAAGGTTTGTTCCCTTTCTGTCTGCATCCACATGTGCATTCAGAAAATGTAGTTACATGTCATGAATTAATTCAGAAAAATACATTATTTTGAAAAGCTGCTTTTTGAATATTAAAATTTTCGTATTTAACTCTTATTTGTTTCTGTGTAAATTTCCCACTTATGCAGAATCCACTTCTATGCATAAGGGCTTTTGTAGTAAGGAACAATAGGAAGACAGAGAACCTTTCCCGTAAATGGATCTAGGTTTGACTAAAAGATAGTGATAAATGTGACTTCAGTAATATAGCCACATGGATCCATGCTGACTCTGCTGATTACAGGCTAAGGTCTTCTGTAATTTTACCAGCAAATCCATCTAACAGAGTTGATACAGATCTTTATTCAGCAGCAGCAAGGACTAAGGAATAAATTCCTAATTCCTCAAAGTCTTTGCAGGACATTGGTTTTTCCAGAGTATTTGAGGCTTTCATAACTACAGATGAATGGCAGAGGGTTTTCCATTTTTGTGAGTTTGTGAATTTTTGGCCAAGTTTTACCACTGAAAGGAGCGGTACTAAGGAGCTGGTGTGGTTAGAGGATAATGGGGCATGTATATGAAAGACAACTGTTGAAATTACCAATTTTTTCCAATACAGATAAAAGTGGGTGATCACATGATCCGGACAGAACAGGGCCTATTGCTACGAAGTCTCCACCGGAGAGACTCTGGTGTTTATTTCTGCCATGCTGTGGAGCATGGCTTCATGCAAACTCTGCTCAAAGTGACCCTGGAAGTGATTGATACTGACCACCTGGAAGAGCTGCTCCACAAAGAAGAGGATGGCGATGCCTCCAAGATCAAGGATGCTACCAACAGCATGACCCCCAGTCAAAAGATCTGGTACAGAGACTTCATGCAGTTAATCAACCACCCCAATCTCAACACAATGGATGAGTTCTGTGAGCAGGTTTGGAAAAGAGACCGCAAACAGCGCCGGCAAAGGCCTGCCAACGCGCAGGTGAACACAAATAAGTGGAAGCACCTACAGGAGAATAAAAAAGGTAGGAACAGGAGGACCCATGAATTTGAGAGGGCACCACGGAGTGTCTGAGCTTCATTACCTCTAGGAACCTCATCCAAGTAGAAACTTGTATAGACAGATAACTGGAAAAAAATGCAATATTCATGAACTTTTTCATGGCATTATGTGGATGTTTACAAGAGTGGAAAATTCAAACAATTTCCACTAGGTTTAAATAAAATCCATTTCTAACTTTCCTAGCAATTCCTTCCTCTCTGCTCTAAGATCAGAAAGACCAGAGTTTCAAGGATGATAACTCACCCAGACCTAACTTACTGTTCAAAAAGTTCTACAAGTATTCAACAGGCAAGTTTTGCTTTCTCTTTTGCCAGAGATATAAACAAAATGCTGAATTTCATGCTGTCATCTTACTGAAAAGAAAAACAACCCCCACCTTTCATCATCAGCACTACCATTTCTAGACTTATATATAAAACTGCATGAACTCATTAAGCTGATGAACGTCTAAACACGTGATCGGACACAAGGATTTTGTTCGTTTTGTCTACCAGTTCTCCTGTTTATATGTGCTAGAAGGGGAAAAACAATACTGAATGAGATTGATTGTGGAAATCTGAACAACATAAGCCATCCATCATCTGGAAGAAAAAAAATGTGGAGTACACTGGCCTACTACTGATGACTTCTTTCCGCTTTGATCTAAAGATGTATTTTATTAAAACTATAATTTAAATGTACCATGAAAAATATGCAGCAAACATTAGCTCCTTTCTAAAATAGATTAGGCTTTTTGTCTTAGAAATATTGTACTTCCTAATTATTGGATTAGAGGAAAAAAAGACAACTTCCAATTATGAGCTGCTTTACTCTTTTGTTTGGAAAAACTTCTAGGGGAGCTAGTCACACTACAGTTAACCTCCTCCCCTCTCAGTAATCTATATGACATGTAACTTCAAAGCAATTTTAAAACTAAGCTATTTTAACATGAAAGTCACTGTATAGCATGGAAGTATTCTGCATTCTGTTCTTCTAAGTATGGTATTTGAAATTATTCAACTTGTCTAATACCTAATAGATTGAACCAATGAAGAGGAGAGCATTGATTTTCAGTTGTATATTTTTTTTTAATTAAAAAAATACAAGTAGCATTAAAATATCCTCTACTAATTACACTCTTGCTTTCTTGGTTCATATTTGTGAATGCTAATATTTAAATACTGTGGCTCATAAACTGTCATATACCCATGAGCAAAGCTCATATTCAGTTTAAGGAGTTGTGTTCCCAGCTCTGTGGTAGAAATATGTCCTCACTACTGATTCTCAGTGCTCCATTCTTTCTGTGGGCCAGATCACCCAAATGCAAAGAACCAGCACTAAATAGTAACCTCAAAGCCCCATTTTGAGATCTGAGGGACAGTTTTATCTGTGGGTGAAATCTGCTGCAGTAGTCAATTGGTGAAATTCAGCTTAAGACTAGTATAATTTGGTCCTGCACTTCTGTCTTATTCTATATACAGGAGAGCAACAGGGTAAACCAGATAATGTACTTGCACCGTAAGTGTCAGTTTAGGGTTATAAGTAGTGGATTTATTCACCTCAGCACAGATGTGCCTTTGGTCCCCAGTTCTATGGTGTCCAGTTCTTTTGAGATCATCTTTCTCCAGCCTCCCATATTTTATCTTGGTAGAGTCTGTAAATGACATAATTTCAAATAATGTCATTGTGGGGAAAATTACTAAAACAAAATCCTTAGTTTGCTAAAGGAGCTTTTATATAAAAGTGTGTCTGCACTGATGACTGATCTGTTTTGTTGTTATTCATGCCAGGTTATTTAATTTATCTATTGCTACACTATCAATCAGGCTTACCAGGTACAGTATAACACAACTGCTGTGACAGCTTCTCTCACAATATGCCCAAGTCTCCTTGCCTCTCACTGATTCAAGTATCCCTCTGCTTAGCGAAGTCTTGACTTCTCGCCTCCATAGCAATTGGATTTTCACTAAGCCCAGTTACTTTGGTCCCCTTTGAATCCTTTGCAGGGGATGAACTGGCAAGATTTTTTGTCATTTAATTCTTTAGCAAAAAAATCATTGAATAGACCAGGACAGGGCTGTATGGCCATGATTTAAGAAAGCAATTGGGAATTTAGTTTTAAAGCAACTTTAAGTCTCTCTTACGTTTAACCTGACTCTTCTGAACTTCAATATGTTGTTAAATTCTCATTCTTTCGTGATGTGCTGAATAGGGATGGATTAAAACACATGTTCAGCTGTGTGTTTTTATGTACAGTAGTATTAATTTTTCAGCTCAGTTTATGATTAATTTCTGAGCATTGTTGTCAACTGAATTATTTAACCACGGAACACTCTTTAGTCTTTTATATAGGGCTATTTTGTACCATCTAGTTACTACAATCCTCTTCCTTACAAAAAGAAACAGTTTTAAAATGAACCTCAGAGAATTCAGTGGGAAAAATACAAATTGATTTCAATAGATCCTAAATGCCTTTGTTTCTTTTTTTACATATTAATGGAATTGCTATGTAACTTTTTTCTCTACCATGCTCATAGCAACTGGTTCTATAGCAACTTGCTGCAAAAAATCAAACCAAAACCAACCTCTTTTGCAATGCCTGAAGAAGAAACATATTAAATTAAGACAGAATCCTAAAATATGTTTTTCTATAGAGAGAAAGATAATCTGTGGGAAGAAAGTACAGAAGTTGCAATGTTTTTATCATAACCTGGCAGTCTCATTGGACAATTCATATGATCAGATCTTACAAACTTCAATCCAATCCTCATAGACATGAGTAGTCTTGTTTAAGACTTTTGTATTTGCTTATATAAAGAAGAGGTCAGAAGATCAAGCCAGCAGTGGAAATTTTTGGGGTTTAGGTTCATATTATGGTCAAGTTATAGCAATGTTTAATACTGACGTGAAATGAACTTTGTTTCAAAAAACATAGGCCTTGAGGAATTAATGTATAGAAAGATGCCCTGCAGCTTCAGTAAGATTCATATCCCCATTTGTGTCATTATTATTATTTAAAGCACCATAAGGTTTGAAAATAAAGATTAAAACAGTATTTCTGTAAATTGTCAATAAAACCCTCTAAGCCTCTAGTTACAGACTTTAGAAAAAATAAAGTAAAATGTTGTGTTTAAGCTGGAGAGAAATAAAGGATTTCATTTATAGCCAGAAAAATCTATTTTGTTTTGCTGTAAGATATACATCTGCAAGGAACAAAAATACATTGAATCTTTTTCTTACTCATCTACACTTTGCACTTGCACGGATCACTGAAATGGGAATTTGTTAAATGGCTCCTGAAAACTGTATGGTTATGTTAAACTATAACATCAAACTGAGAAAATGTGCGTCTTTGCAGAACAAAGTTAAATCTTCATGACCCAATAAAGTTACAATGTAAAAAAAAAAAAATTAAATTAAATGCATGTGAATGCGCATTTACTGTTCCTTTTTATGTATTATTTAGTGAATATCAATGGTATGTGTTTAATAGTTCAGTTTTTGCTACCTACACATTAGTCAAAAGAGATGTAAATATTTTTGACTAGATAAGGAGGTACAGTGTAAAGTACTGTTATCTAGAGGTACTCCATTTCGGTGTGTTCAGCAAAATACTAAAATGCAAGATTTTGCCACACAGGTGATAAGGTGGTTTATTTGCTATATCAGTGTCTAAGTTTTGCGCTTATTTAAACGCATTCCTCACTGGGTAGTAAATAATTCTGCTTCTGTATTTATCACTTCAATTCATATGGGAACTAGAAAACTGGAGAGAAAAAAAATGTAATGAAACTGCTGCTGTAAATTATTTCTTTTAGCATGTATTCAGTTGTTAAATAAACATTTCTTCCAAATATTTGAAGTTTGCTGTCTTGACTGTTTACAAGGAAACGTGCCCTGTAACCTTCATGAGCATATGGAGTGCATTGTTGCCAATATAATGCTATCAATGTACATGAGCTCTGTGTATTAGGCCAGAAGGATGGCTATTTTAATTAATGGGAGGGTTTGTTTCTTTTTCGAAGACTACAAACTAATAATGGCTGAAATGAAAGGTATGAACTTATGTTCAACCTGTCTTTTGACACAACTGCTGGGCTTTTGTGCAGATAAAGCCACACATTTACACACTCCCACCCTCCACTCTGCCCATGAACCAAACTGTAAATCAGCCTGGAAGCCATGTGAATGTGAGCAAGTTGCTGTTCTTGATGAACTTTCATTCTGTGCAATGCTAATGGCTTAGGACAGCTATGCTGCTTTCTTTTGGAACTGGCTTGCACAGACAGCAAGTAGAATAAATCAGGTTCTATCTGTTAGCAATATACCCTTGTATCCTTAGGTAAACTTAGCAGCTGTTTGAAAGTGCTTAGGGGCTCTATCTAAAAATAATATGCCAAGGCACTAAGCACTGTGCAAACAGCTAATAAGATAAATGCTGTCCTGGAAAGCATGAAGTTTAAATACACAGACAAGAAGCAGAGAAAAGAAAGTATCATTATTTTCATTTGGCAAATACAGAATTGGAGAAACCTCCAGCAGTACTTAGTTGTCACTAATCCATTCAGCTTCACCCATGTTCCTTTCTCTAAAGCGAGGATACAGGAGTCCAGTTCAAAAAGATGTTGTAAGGATATTTTATTGTTACTACTGTCTTCTGAAAATGAAAATAAGTCCTCAGCAGCAGCCAAGAAACTCAGTGGGTTACAAAAGATACCTGCAAATAAAAGAAGGACAAAATGAATATGGCAAGCCATGAATCTGCTAACTGAAAAAACAGTAATTTTGGTTTTCTGTGTCCAGTGAATGGATTATAAATACCCACAGAGGAAGACCCTTTTTTCTGAGTGACACCAGGCTATGTCCTTTGCTAGAATTCCCCTCAGAGCACAGCTAAACTGAGTGTCCTCTGTTACTAATCTGTACATTGCCAGTAGTGTACAATGCCTAGGGGCAACCTTCTTTGACACTGAGTAGGAAGAAAGAAGAAACATTTGGGATTTAATGCCTATTTGTTCTCACGCATATATGCCTAGATAGATAGATAGATATACACATACATTGAAACAGACAACTTTCACTGAGGTGAAATCCTCTTTTCTCTGAAGCATTTAAGGCTCTGTGTGTAATTCTAGTACATCTCTGAATATGTTTGGCAGCTTCAGCTATAAATTGTTATAGATGTTTCCTCTGTAAAGACTGAAACACACTATTCAGTTTCCTTACAGGTCACATTCACTGAGCTCCCCATCAAACATCCATTTAATAGGAGGAAAAGTTATATTTTTTCCAAAGCATAAAACAAAAGGACTATTATTCCTAGAATGCTGAGTAACAGGATACAAGTAGATCAGAGTATTAGTGACCCAGCCAGCTTCTTTGCTCCCCATAAATACTCATGTGAAAGGTTGGAGGAGCTTCATAGAAAAACTGGAAGCTGTGGAGAACAGGCCTTATTTGAGACTTTTTTGTCCTGGAATTTATCAAAGGTTGACATTTTGGAGAACTTCAGGATGATCTGAGCTAAATCCCAAAGCTCTGGTGAAGCAATATCCAAATGGAAAAACTTCCATTTAGGTTAAGAGAGCAAACTCCCTTTCTCTCTTAGCAATTTTTCACCCCTTCAGGAAATGGGTTTCTTCTTGCCTCAATATTACAGAAAGGTCATTATATAGTTTCTATAGTCCATGTTGAAGGCTAATATCTTCTTCAACACACATGGGGAACCCCATTTCTGATGACCAGCCCTCCCTGAGCTGCTTTGTGTCCAGGCACTCCAGTCAGACTAGTATACAGTCTACTCTTGCCACATCTGCTAGTACTGGATCTAAAAATGTCCTGTTCTCATCCACAGGTATAAAATTAGGATTTAGTAGGCAGTAAAAAGCATGTCTTCGTTGAACTATGAGGTATAATGCAAGAAGATATCTGTCAGGGAGTCACAAGGGATGACAAATTCCTGGTCCAGGGGTAGTGAGGGTGTCAGGGCAGGACCTAACAGCCAGAGCCTGTCCCCTGCATCCAGGACAGGGCAGACCAGGGGCCAGCTGGGGCAGCTCCAGCCCCAGGCTTCAACCATATCCCTGGAGATGGAGCATCAGCGTGCAGGTGGACCTGGCTTGGTGTGGCCCATGGGCAGGGTTGTGTGGGGCAGGAGATGGCATCCTGCAGCCTCTCTGAGGCAAGAACTGATGGCCCCAGGGGCTGGAGTGGGGTCCTGGGCTATGGGCAGAGTGGGAGGAGCTCTAAAGTGGGCAGGATCTCCAGTCAGGTGAGCTGAAGCCTGGTGTTTGCACCTAAGGAGGCTCAAACCATCCTTCCTGAATTGCTTCCAATCAGCTGAGGTCATTTATCTTCTAGATTTCGAGTCAGTTCCCTGCCTTCTGAAAGCCTACGAAAAACCTTAACAGCACAACACAGTTCCAGTTTGGCTGACCTAGTTTAGTGGACACTGAAAAAAAAAAGGGTAAAATTTACACCTAAACAGTTACTCAGAATTAATGTGCACAGGGTTATAACACCTTTTCTTTGAGCAGAAAAGCCCTCATGGAAATAAGGATCTAGGCCTTCTCTCCATACACGAGCCTGCCGTGTCTGCCCATGCACGACCACGTACCGCCAAGCTGCCTCTGAGGCACTTGGAATGGATTTTGAAGGATGAATCTAATTTCATGAACAAGCCCAATACTTTTTCAGGCCATTCCACCTTACAGCCTGGTGTAAATTAAATCTGATGGTCTGCCCTGGGAACAAAACTCCTCTTTGCGCCTCTCAACACGGGGTAATGCCGTAACCTGTATTACTTTCAAGCTTTATCTGAATATATTATATTCATTTCTCTGTGAGTTTCATGGTCAACTTTTCTTGTAAGTTTGTTAACAGTGGTAACGTGAATTATGATTGTTTATGCAGAAGCAAATGGAAATGCATGTTTCTGCATGGGAAAAGGATAGAGACTATAGTAATTCTGTTAGATCTAGTACATCAAGTAAATATCAAATATGACTTGAACTTCTCATTTCTTGCTATAGCTAGGGGCAGGAGAGGAAAAGAGCAAACAAAAGAAATACAGACATTTCAGCTATGTTTTGCAATG